TCCACCCATTCTAATTGAGGAAGTGCCTCTGAAAGTGCCTGTGAGAATCCGGCAGAGGGCATATCCTCGCCACATTATGAAAGCTATCCAGGATATTATTGACTTATATCTAGAACATCATATCCTGGTGCCCACTGAGTCGCCCTGGAATACCCCCATACTACCAATTCCGAAGGGGGATGGTCGTTTTAGCCCTGTTCAGGATTTGAGGCCTGTAAACCTAGCCACTATAACAATCCATCCAGTAGTTCCCAATCCCTATGTCATATTAGGACTTATCCCTCGAGAGGCCCAGTGGTTTTCTGTTATAGATTTGAAGGATGCTTTCTTCACCATCCCCATACACAAGAAAAGCCAGCATTTATTTGCTTTTGAGTGGGAAAACCCTAACACTGGTAGGAAGCAGCAATATACCTGGACCAGGCTGCCTCAAGGATTTAAGAATTCACCCACACTTTTCGGTGCAGCTCTGGCCAGGGATCTGGAGGCTTTACACATACCAGCCCCAGATGAGGTTTTACAATATGTGGATGATTTATTGGTGACAGGATACACTGAGGACGCGTGTTGGCAAAATACTGCTGATTTACTTTCACTTTTGCAAGATTTAGGTTATAAGGCCTCTAGAAAGAAAGCACAATTAGTTCAGCAAAAGGTCAGGTACCTGGGCTATGACATTGAGCAAGGGAAGAGGACGTTGGGCCACGAGCGGAAGGAGGCCATATGTCAACTTCCTGTTCCAACTAACAGGAGAGAATTACGGGGGTTTCTGGGTGCGGCTGGTTTCTGCCGCATCTGGATTCCCAACTTTAGCCTAATTGCAAGACCTCTGTATGAAGCTACGAAAGGGGCAGAAAGGGCCCCACTCCTTTGGAGCAAAGAGGAAGAGGCTAGTTTTCAATCCCTTAAACAAGCCCTCCTTCAAGCTCCCAGTTTAGGTCTCCCGGATTTGGAGACACCGTTTCAGCTGTTTGTTGACACTAAGCGAAATGTTGCAATAGGCGTCCTCACCCAGATGATGGGGACATGGCATCGGCCGGTAGCATATCTCTCCAAGCAACTAGATAATGTAGTCAAGGGGTGGCCAGCCTGCCTTAAAGCAGTGGCTGGCACAGCAATCTTGACTCAGGAAGCAAATAAGCTAACCTTTGGACAACAATTGCATATATACACACCGCATGCCCTTAAGTCAGTTTTAGAGATGAAAGGCCACCTGTGGTTGACTAACCCTCGGATGCTTAAGTACCAAGGCCTTTTGACTCATAATCCTATGATTACCCTCTCCCAGTCTACTACATTAAATCCAGCCACATTATTACCTGAGCCTGGAACAGAAATAGAACACAATTGTGTCCAGACTATTGAAGAAACCTATGCTAGTCGTCCTGACATGAAGGATGTTCCCCTTCCTTCCCCAGATTATACTCTGTTTACTGATGGCACCAGCTACATACAAGAGGGAGTGAGAAAAGCGGGATATGCGGTGGTCACATTGGATGAGGTCTGGGAAGCAAAGCCACTCCCTCCAGGAACTAGTGCCCAATTAGCCGAATTGCATGCCCTCACTCGGGCTCTAGAGCTGGCACAGGGACTGGCAGTGAACATATACACGGATTCCAAATACGCTTTCCTCACAGTCCAGGTCCATGGGGCTCTGTATAAAGAGAGGGGACTAATAACTGCAGGGGGAAGAGAAATAAAGTACGGCCCCCAGATATTGCGCCTCCTAGACAGTGTGTGGGCTTCCAGTAAAGTAGCAGTCATGCACTGCCGAGGCCACCAGAAGGTGGTGACAGATATACAAAGGGGGAATGAGAGAGCTGACAAATTTGCACGTGAAGCAGCCCTACTAGACTTCACCCCCCTTGAAAGGCACCTTGCAATATGGGTGCCCGATGCTCAACCCCAACCCCATTACTCGGAGGAGGATAGGGACCGGCTAAAGGCACTAGAGGCCCACCAAGAAGGTCAGTGGTGGGTCTTACCAGACAAGAGGGTGTATATTCCCACTCATTTGGCATGGGATGTTGTACGTCAGCTACATAAGCAATTGCACCTAGGCAAGACTGCCCTCACAAAGGCACTCAGGAGGGAGGTGTATATAGATAAAGTTAGTAGCATAGCAGCCAATGTATGTGCGCGTTGCGAAATATGTGCAGCTAATAACCCCAGGCAAGGCCCGCAGCCACCAATGGGCCACCAACCTCGAGGCTGTTACCCTTTTGACTCTCTGATGATTGACTTTACAGACATGCCTCGTTGTGGCCCTTACAATGCACTATTGGTTATTGTATGCACATACACGGGCTGGCCAGAATGTGTACCTACTCGCACAAAGAAGGCCACTGAAGTCGCGCGAGCGTTACTCCATATTGTAATACCAAGGTATGGGTTACCCTCCCGGATCTCCTCGGACAATGGTCCGGAGTTTATTCACAAGGCAACGCAACAGCTAGCAAAAGTTCTAGGCGTTACATGGAAGTTACACTGTAGTTTCCACCCCCCTTCAGGGGGCCGGGTGGAAAGAATTAACCGAACAATTAAGGACAAGCTGGCAAAGATATGCCAGGAGACACATCTCAAATGGACTGATGCCTTGACCCTAGCTCTGGTGGCGATACGTTGTGCACCACGCAAGGACATATCAGTCTCCCCTTTTGAATTATTATATGGCCGGGTCCCTAACTTGGTTAGGTTTGATATGCATGACACCACAAATGTATCTGATGTTATTAGGTTACGACAACTCAAGGCCCTAAATGAGATTATCCATAATTTACAGGAATATGTGTTAACGTGTAAACCCCAGGTTTTGGTAACCTCCCCCCACAACATACGTCCAGGGCAGGAGGTTTGGGTTAAGGATTGGAAACGGGAAACATTGTCTCCCAAATGGAAGGGCCCCTATACTGTAGTCATGTGTTCTCCCCTTGCTGTTAAGGTAGCGGAGATTAAATCGTGGATTCATTGGTCTCGGGTTAAATTAGCCGCGCCTGCCTGTTGGAAAGTCGAATCTCAACCCGACTTTCCACTCAGGTTGACCTTTAAAAAGGTGAAGAGGAACTGCCCTCCCCTAGTGGTGACACTCCGGAAGCTGTCCCTCTACCTACGGGAGATGAAGAGGAACTGCCCTCCCCTAGTGGTGACACTCCGGAAGCTGTCCCTCTACCTACGGGAGTCGAAGACCACCAGATCCCCACTACTTCTAGTTTGGAGGGTCTTCCCTGGCGGCTTAGGTCTCGCGCCAGGTTTCCCTAATACGGGGAATTGGGAAAAAGGGAGAAGGGGGGTCAGTAGAAAATGGAGCCTCGTCAAAGGCTAAGGGAAACTGCTTGCATCCGAAGGGGTCTTATGCATCTGTCTGGGTTGTGACCATGTTACTGGTGTTAAGTGTTGTGATTAATTCATTATATCTATATTCAACGCTGATAAAAGGAAGGGCGACCCAGGATGACCCTTTACCCCTAGAGATAGAGCAGTTGGAAGAATGGTATTCCCCTGACCCTTTTTATGATGACCCTCCCCCAGTTATAAACCCCAGGGAAACGGAACAATGTATTGATTGCTTCCTGGTTCGTAATACTGGGAGACACTTTACATATACCAATACTAGGCCTCCAGGATGCCATATCACAAGTCTCCCACAATGTGAGTACCAAGGGACACGATATTGGCAATGTGTACAAAATGGAACAATAAGATGTTATTTTCTCCATTCCCCATGGGTCCCTGTCCGCCACAATAGGGTACCCCGTACCCTGAACTCCCTCCATGAAGATCAGAAGTGTGACACCCATGTGGAATGTAAGGATGGAAAGGGGGGTCTTTACTACAGGGTAGGAAAGCCCGCAATGTACACAGACTTCACCCTGCCACGATGTAAACATACCACATGGTCTCCTCCGACCTCTTATAATGGCACTAAGTGTACAGGGGTAATGAGGGTTGAGATATTTGTCAATCGTTGTCAGGGGAAGCAGGGCCTGGTTTGTTATGTAAACGACAAAGCAGTGCCTACCCCATTTTGGAAGAATCCTAAGGAATACCAAACCCAACCATCGCCAAAGAACCCCAGGTTCTCTGGCCATCAAGGCCAAAATAAGAAGGTGGGGTATGTGGGAAATTCAATTTCTCCAATTGCTGTCTTGAGTTTGATGATGTTGGTGAAATTGTTGAACAAAGTGTCAGGCGAATGCAAGCGTTGGCCCATGTCCCCATCCAGAGGTGGAAGGGATTCAATCTTGGAGAAATGTTTAGTTCCTGGTTTCCGAAATTACCAGGCTTTCAAGCCATTATTGTATTTGTAGGAATCCTGGTTGGGGCTTGTGTTATCTTGCCCTGTGTAATACCCCTTTTGATACGTACTATATCCAGCTCTGTCTCGTTGTTAATTGAAAAAACAACTACTGAACAGGTTATGGCTCTTTTGGTACGGGAACCGGTGGGTATCTATGAAGAACTCCTTCCCCTATGTCCTCCTTCCCGGGAATATGAAACTGCACATTAATCTTTCAATTTAGGTGAAGTTTCAAAGGGGGGAATGAAGAAGGACCAGAAAAGGGATACATTTTATATAAGTTAGCTAGCT